GCTCGTTAAACGTATTGCCAAATTGTAGGCTTTGCAGGCTTTGTTATTGAGTTTTGAATTATTTGCATTGTTGCCTTGCTCGTTAAACGTATTGCCAAATTGTAGGCTTTGCAGGCTTTGTTATTGAGTTTTGATTACAAAAACATTTAATTATKTACATTGTTGCCTTGCTTGTTAAACGTATTGCCTAACTGTAGGCTTTCTATTGCAGGCGTTGTTATTCCAATGTTACGTAACGTTTAATTGTTTATTGCCTTGCATGGTATTCGGTAAGGGTTTGCAGGCGTTATTATTCGCGTGTTACAGAGCATCTTACCGTTTACGTTATATATCTTTGTATTGTTGCCTTGATTTTMAACATATTGCCTTCGTGGCTTTGTAGGCACTGTTATTCAGGTATCACCGGATTACAGTTCATTTGGTTATTTACACAGTCTTCCACTATTCTTTAAGCGTTTTGCCTGGAGGTTTTGTAGTCATTGTTCGTTCTATTTCAGGTTTACTTCAGGATTCATGTTATTGCTTTGCGATTTAACGTAATCGCTTAATTTGAGCCCCTTCAGGCATAGTCATTATAAAAGTAATAATTATTATATCAGTTATAAGAGTGAAATTCTCTATAGTGTCTGCGATTCAATCACGTTTTACAATGCTGATTTGTTTTATATATTWTATGCTCTTAGTTCTGGCTATTTGCCTGGCTATCGTTGAAGTGCTGACAATTACTAAGTCAGTGTATTTTATTTTTGTTTGATTATCAGGAAATCGCACGTCGCCTAAAGCATCTAGAAGATGTTCAGTCTACTACTGTAGATTCACTCATCATGAAGATTACACAGTATGGCAGTCGGCGTGTGCAAGATTTTGACAAGTACGAAGCCCTTCGGCTGTCAGAACAACTCGCTTCTGTGGCTAAATCTACTGCACATGAGAARGCTGCAAGTTACGACATWATTGCCGCCTCGTTACGTGAGAAAATGTCTTCTCCAGCCCTCCAATTTAAAGCTTATTTTCTAGCGCTTTTAGCGGATAAAGAGTTCACAAGAATTATCGATWCCATCTCCAAGGTGGACAAGTCATTTAATCGCCCAGCAGCGGCTTCAGGAGGAAGAGGACGGGGTGGTTTCTATAGAACTTCCCCATACAGCCGGGTAGTATGTTACAAGTGTGGCACCCCAGGCCACAAATCTCCACAGTGCTGGTCACGCCGACCCCCTCAAGGTGGTCAACCCCAACCTCTACTACGAGGTCAGCAGCCACGTCCTCCACGCCCATAGTTACAACTGGAGATTTTGATTTAACTATGCTATTCATTTCCTCTCTGTGTCAATATTAAATTATTTAATCTGCCTAGTGTCTGCGTTTCATTTTGTGTTTTGTCTTGAATTAATTTTGTCCATTGTCTTTTCACCTCCCTATTTATTTATTTGTTTAATTATTTTTATTTTTTATTTTTTTATGGTTAATTCATTTCTTTCTTTATTTCCTCTTTTTTCCTACTATTGATTTATTTATCGATTTATTTGTTTATTTATTTTTTCGTTTACATTATTTATTTATTTATTTTTTCGTTTATTTATTTATTTTTTCGTTTATTTATCTATTTTTTCGTGAGTTTATTTATTTTTTCGTTTATTTGTTTATTTATTTATTTATTTTTTCGTTTATTTATTATTTATTTTTTCGTTTATTTACGTAGTTTTCATTTATTTATTTATTTATTTTTTCGTTTATTTATTTAATTATTTATTTATTTATTTATTTGTTGATTTATTTATTTATTTTTCGTTCATATATTTCTTTATTTATTTGCTGGCTGGTTTATCTATTTTATTTATTTATTTATGTGGAGTGAAAACACTCAATCCGTAGCTTCTTATAGTGTAATAAGCTCTGCAAATTCCTTTGTTTTAGTTGTCTGAACAATGCTATTTAGTAGTAGTTATTTAAGTTAGTTTTTATTTATATAATTCTATTCTTTTTTTTTTATTTATTTATTCCTCCATTGATTATTTATTGGTACGCTAATTGTCTATTATTTCATTTATTTGTTTTCACCTTGGAGTGGTTCTCATTAATATAACCCGCGCAACAAAGTGTAATAGTCAAAGTGTAATAGCCGAGAAATATAATAGAAAGCAAAAGAGACAAAGTATAATAAAGTGTAATACACTAAAGTGTATTTCACGGGTTAATGAAAACACTCTATTTTACTTGTTTGGCTATTTGTTGTTATTATTATTGCTATTTCTTTTCTTTCACCTTCACGGTCCCTTTACATTTGGGTATCTATCCTCTATCTCCTTTTTCACTTGTTGTACCGTATACTTATCTAAGTTTAAGTTCTCTCCTGTTGGCATTCTCAAAGGGAGCCTAACCTCCTTCTCGGATTACCGGGGCTGAGTTTGCCATCCCCCTAGGCCCTTTCGTTGATCTCTATTTTCCTATTCTTTTCAGTTTCCCGTTATTACTCTCCGCGACTGGGAGTTGTCATGTGATTTCGATCCGTCGTCTGTGCGGCTTAATTCCCCCCAGTGGGTAGATTACCGGGGAGATTCCATCAACGATGGGGCCTTGGGTATGGCAAACAACGCCCACATTACTCAGGAATTTGTATCATCTGTCTCCAAGGGTCATCAGCTAGCCGACGTWTCACAGCTCTCTTTCCGTGACCCATGCCATTTTCGAGCCGGTGAACTCCACCGYTGTAAAGCTACTTGGGATAATCTCTTCCATTGTGTAGCGGGCGACTTTGAAGAGGTCAAAGATTGGATTCATAACTTGGTCAATGTGGAGAACTTTTGGTCTCCTTTTAAAGGGAGTTACCRAGGTGTTAATTATAATTGTGACTCACCTCCTCCACGCTTATTCTCCAATCATCTTTCTTGCAAACCTTTCGCTTCGTTTATTTCCAAGACCATCTTAAACAGACTTGCTTCTGGTGCTATCGCTTTATGGGGAAAAGTTGGAAAATGCCATCCTCCTCACCTTGTCATGCCGTTAACAGTTGAGCCTTCTAAACCTCGTCTTTGCAATGATAACCGTTTTTTAAATTTATGGATCAAAGACTGTCCATTCGCGTTGGATTCTGTTTTGCACCTTCCGAAATACGTATTCAAGGACTCGTACCAGACGGTATGCGAYGATAAATCTGGTTATGACCACATCATGCTGTCTCCCAACAGCCGAAAGTATTTTGGCTTTCAATGGGGGGGCTGGTTCTTTGTAAGTTGCACCATCCCTTTTGGTTGGAAGTCCTCTGCATTTATCTACCACACCACAGGTCTTGTCGCTTCTCATTACCTCCGCTCTATGGGCATTCCATCTTCACTCTACATTGACGACCGCCATATGGGTCAGTTGKCTCTACCCAAACGTTCCCTCGTTTCCGTCTATGAGACTCTACCTTCTAAAGATGCATCGAATTTGGCCCTAGCGGACGCCGCTATCTTTTTAACGTGTTTTACCCTGGTATCTTTGGGTTACTTTATTGGTCTGGAGAAGTCCTGTCTGACACCTCGCAAGAGGGCTACTTATCTTGGTTTTGTATGTGACTCAGAGAAACAGGCTTTCACTTTGGTTGAGSACAAGAAACAGAAATTTCTTGCCCTTCTAAAACAGACTCTTGGTTCAGAGTCGCTTGATTTGCTCACCCTCCAGAAGTTAGGTGGCAAGTGCATGTCACTGGCTCTTGCTGTTCCCGGAACACGACTTTACACTAATGAGATTRATCTGGCCATCTCCCGCGCCTTGCGCTCCTCGCGGCCTGTTAAGATKAACCAAAGGTTGAGAGGTGAATTAGAGCACTGGCTTTTCCTTGACACCTGGAACGGTTTCCTGCCTTGGAGATCAGACAAGCATTATCATATTAAACTGTATTCTGACTCATCTGGTTTTGCGTGGGGAGGTGCTCTGAGTCCGGGTGCCATAGATGCCAACATTTGCGATTATTGGGATCCGAAGGTGATCGGMCTAGACATCGCTACAAAGGAGACATTTGCTCTCAACAAGGTGTTGCAATCATTTAAAGACAAGATTCGCAACTCTTGGGTGGATGCGTTCGTTGATAGCCAAACTCTACTGCGCTGTTGGGAGAGGCAAGGCTCTCGTTCTCCGCCATTGGTCTTAGCCCTCAAGAGCATTTTTCAGACTTGTCTTAGTCTAAACATCGATCTTCACCTTCATTATATCCCTAGTTCTGAGAATCCAGCAGACGCCCCCTCCCGCCATCTTAGTCTCCAGGACTGCATGTTAAGTCCTCGTCTATGGAGTATGGTCCAGGCTGTCCACGGTGGCTATAAGGGTCATTCAGTAGATCTCATGGCTAGATGCTCTAATGTCCAACCAGACCTGCAAGGTAGCCCATTGCCCTTCTTCTCCGAGAGGCCCATGGCTGGCGCTCTAGGTGTCAATTTATTTGCCCAATTGCCCGARCTCCACTACCCRGGACTCTTTGAAAACCCATATGTGTTCCCACCTATCTGCCTGGTCCCGCATGTGTTTAAATTCCTCCATGATCTCCAGTTATCCTACACCCTAGTAGTTCCTGATGTTCATCCACGGCGTTTTTGGTGGCCGTTACTTACCGCTGCGTCCTCTGATCACCGCTTGATCGCCTCTAAAGGAACGGTGGGTGCCGTTTTACCTCCATCAAGGCATGGTTTTTCGGATACATGGCCAATTCCTTGGGACTTGTATGTGTTTCGTATTGTGACCAAGTGACTRCACTATTGCCCTGATTCGATGTGTAAACCTATATGGAGCGTTATATGTTAAAATTGTAAACTTTCAGGATCATTAAAATGTATTTCTAGAATTTTGTTTAATTTGTTGTCACCTTAMGCCTCCTAGCTTGTCCCTCCCTTTCGTTCCACCTATTTCAGTTCGTTCCCCTTCCCCTCGCGTTAACCCATATTTGTGTATAAYCCTTACCTTGGTGTTTTTCTTAGGACCTTCCTCCTGCAAAACGGTTATTTCTCCCAGCTGTGGCATGTCCCTCTTGCAATTACGCTAACGACTATATGTTCCGTTTTTGTCAAATGTGTGGATATAAACGTAAMTCTGAAGCACTTGGGTCGGGCATGACGACTGAAGTTAATCTGTCTTCCATTGATGAAAGACTTTCTCAGCTGCGCAATCGTATTCAAGWTTCTCCCTACTCAAAACAAAAGTCCTCGCTTCGAGTTGAATTTGAGACATTCTTGCGCTCATTGCCACAGAGCAAATGCATTTTTACAGCATCACCGGAAGATGTTACCCGCTTCCTTGTGTGGAAGGACACCAAGGGTAAAAAGTCTGTGCATACTAGTGATTGTCCGAACTTTTCTTCCGAAGGAGTTGCGGCGTGCACATGCCCCAAGAGGCTCGCTTTTAAAACAGTCGATTCTTACATAGGAAAGCTGCGTGCAATCATATATTCAATGAGGTTGGCAGAACAGGAGATTGGAACGGTATGCTGGGCTTTGGAAACCCGGCAGCATCAGTAGAGGTTCAGCGTTACCTAAAGGCGGTAACGGAAGAGCAATTGCGCGCCCACATGACTCCGAAACAAGCAACGCCGTTTTTTCTTTCCAAACTCCTTCTCCTGGCGAGGCTATGGGACAGAAAACTGGCTAATTCCTCTACCCGTTTCCTAGAGCAGTTCATGTTGGCACGGGATCAAGCATTCTTTAAAGCACTGTTTTTTAGCTCTGACAGAGGGTCAGAGCTTGGTTCGGTGCGAACGTCGGAGATTCTACGGTTCCCTCGTGACGATGGTTTGCTATTTAATCACGTCTGGGGAAAGACGCTAAGAGATGGTGCTTCGAATGTGTTTGGGATTCGTAGACATGCTAACCCGCAGCTATGTCCTGTCAGAGCTATTGAGTGTTACGTCGCTACTGCTGCTGAACTGCATGTTAAGTTATCGGATGGTTTTTTATTTCGGCCATCTAACCATCAGGGTCAAATTGTCAATAAGCCATTCCTAAGCTCCACGGCAGAAAATCGCCTTAAAATTTACCTTAAGGAAGCTGACATAGACGAAGGAGAAACTTTACATAGCTTTCGTGCCGGCTCAGCAATAACGCTGGCGCTCTCCGGTGCTCAACTGGTAGACGTGATGTCTCATGTAGGTTGGAACAACAAAGGGACTGCTCTTTATTATATGAAACTCGCTGATGTTCTTCGGGCAGGAAGTCCTTCGGACCTTTTGGCATCTGATCAGCGCASCTCAGCTTCCTCTACAGACACTTACTCCGACCTTAATCAGTTAAAGGGATTTGTACAGGCATTCCCATAGATTTGATTCTATTTGTAAATAGTTACATCGTATTTATTTTTTGTTGTCTTTTTTAGATCAGTTTATTTATTCA